TTGTCTCCGCCCCCTCCTGTAATAAAGACCGCTCACTGCTGCTCTCTCTCCTTGTGCAGGGTGACTGGTCTTGTCTCCGCCCCCTCCTGTAATAAAGACCGATCGCTGCTGCTCTCTCTCTCCTTGTGCAGGGTGACTGGTCTTGTCTCCGCCCCTCCTGTAATAAAGACCGCTCACTGCTGTTGTCTCTTTGTGCAGGGTGACTGGTCTTGTCTCCGCCCCTTCCTGTTATACAGACCGCTCACTGCTGCTCTCTCTACTAGTGCAGGGTGACTGGGGGGGAGGCGGGTCTCTATGGCTGGAGAATTATTGGCTTCATTATAATAATCCCCGGGGATCCTGCCGTGGAGGTCCTTGTTCAGACACTTCCTGTTATAGGGTGACAACGTTCTGTGCTTGTTCAGACACTTCCTGTTATAAGGTGACCACGTTCTGTCCTTGTTCAGGCACTTCCTGTTATAGGGTGACAACGTTCTGTGCTTGTTCAGGCACTTCCTGTTATAGGGTGACAATGCTCTGTCCTTGTTCAGACACTTCCTGTTATAGGATGACAACGCTCTGTCCTTGTTCAGGCACTTCCTGTTAATGGTTGACACTGCTCTGTCCTTGTTCAGGCACTTCCTGTTATAGGGTGACAACGTTCTGTGCTTGTTCAGACACTTCCTGTTATAAGGTGACAACGTTCTGTCCTTGTTCAGGCACTTCCTGTTGTAGGATGACACCGCTCTGTCCCTGTCTCGCAATTGTCCCCCTGTGTTGTCACGCGGGCTCCCGGTGAAGTCTACAGGTATCCGCTCCACATTACACAGACACGGCCCCCTGTTGTCACCATCGGGAAATGTCACGCAGCCATCGCTGGGGTCATGTAGACAGGAAGTAGTTGCCGGAGACGGAATAATGGGGGGAAATCCGTATTTTTATGGTTCACGAATGTTTTGTTTCCCCCTTCCCCCGCAGATCACATCACCAGAGAGGAGCTGGAGAAGGTGCTGGAGACATTCACGGGAGACATCATGCAGGTCCCCCCGCTGTACGTATATATAAGAGGAGGCGGCCATTGCTCTGTACTGCTGGAAATGCTGCTTACCTGGCTGTCTCGTCATTCCCCCGCCCTGGAATAGGGGGAGATACCCGGTTCTAACTTCACTGGCTGCATGCTTTATCTGGGTGTCAGTGTTGCAATGCCTCATGGGACTCGTAGTTCCACAGCAGCTGGAGTGCCGAGGCTGCCCGCCCCTGTCCCAAAGAATTGTGTGTATAAAGTTTGTTGTAACAAAGGGGGAAACCTGCAGTCAGCACTCGGGGGACAGACATGTTCTCTCCTCTTTGGGGCAGTGGAGACACTTTGGGGGTCTGTGTATAAACGCATTGCTGAGCCGCTCGCCCCACGATTCTCCGAACATTCGTTCTGTGCACATAGAGACCATGTGATCTTTAGCGGTCAGATGTAATACCCCATTGTGGCCACTAGATGGCGCTGAGGACATGTAGGTCTTTCCTGCGCTCCTCGGCTCCATCTGGTGGTCATATCGCAGTATTACATTGCATTGCATTTGCCTCTATTCACGCCGAGTGAAAGTTCGCAGAGATTGGCGGGGCGCATGGCCTGGGCCGGTGCAAGGATTTTGGCCTACACGGGCGAAGGTGGATTTTTGTGGCTGCAGCAG